GTATTAATCAGTACAAATCGATACGAATTCTTAAATATTACGTACAAATGGAATACAATACAAAATATACAATATACAATACAAATCAAAATTTTAATGTTAAAAGGACTCATACAGTGTTCAAGAAAAGTAGCAAAAAAAAAACACAAGAAGAATGACTGTTTGTCCTTATTAATAAATAGTTCTTTACATGAAACCTAAAAACATCTTATAATGTTAAAACATTTAATGAGGCCTCCAGGCAAATACTAACAAGCTGCAGCTGAAATCAATGGTAACAACAGCTATAAGAAAATGTACTGAAAACTGTACGAACACATCAAATACACGCGTATATTGCTGCTCATATTACGACCCTATTACCGTACCTTTATTAAAAGCGGATTTCCTTGTTTTAGTTTTATCTCTTGTTGTTGTTTTGTTGTTGTTGTTGTTGTTTTTTTTTTTTTTTGTTCATTTTGTTTTTGTTTTATTTAGCATGAAGTATTCTGAGGAATTGTCTAGTCCTGTATCGGACAAAGCGCAGTTCGCAGACGTATTGACGCGAACTTTAAAATTCTCTACGACGTGCTATCAGTATAATTATAATTAACACAATACTTACTCTTCATCATCATCGTCATGCGTGAATTCCCTCTTTACCTGAAGAGAAACCACATCAATTTCAAAATCAAATTCACGAGATGTCACAAAATTAATAGATCAATATATTCAAATTTCAATCTGAACAATGCAGGTCTAACAATATCAGACCAGAGGTGACCCATCCGATGCAAAGCCTTTGTTTTCACACATCTAGGGTCAGGCAATCAAATGACAAGTCTATAAATATTACTAAAGATACACAAACGCGTTTAGATTGACTTTAAGGCTTAACCCCTATCTGGCTTTGAAACAATAAAAGATTGTGCGTAAAACTATTAAATGGATCATTTTAAAATATTAAAATATTTGTTTGAATGTTTGATTTTCTCATTGCAGCACTAATCGTACTTACTTTCTGTGAGCTTTCAGATACTTTGCTCTTGGTATTGTTTTCCTCGGTGATGTTTTTCTCCAATTTGCTATAGATTAACACAATATGTTTTAGAATGCTAACAAATTACTAAATTCAACACACATTCAATACGCATGCGAAATYTTTTTTATAATCATATTTCGCCGCCTTCAATCTAACGGTATTTTTGTTTCCATATCACAATGTAATTAAAAACGAGTCACCTTGTTTTTGATTTTTGTTTATTTTTGATTTACGTCATTTTTGTTTTGTTTTGCTTTCTGTTTTTGGTTTGTTTGTTTTTGGTTTTGTTTGCATTTTTCTTTTTTCTCTCTTTGTTGAGGTTGTTGCTGTTTTTTGGTCAGTCTTTTTTTTTTCAGTCCGTTGCCAGCAGAACTATATCTTAAATCTGGAAAGGYGGACCTCGACCATGTAGGGCGTATCCTTGACCATGTAGGGCGTACATGTATAGCATCATAACTTTCAACAATTCAAAATGCGCTCACTGATTTGAGAAAGAKCATGAAGCATTCTGAGGAAATATTTGGTCCCAGCTTTGGACAAAGCACAGTTCGTATTGACGCGATCTACAACGTGCTACCAGCATAACTACAATCTTCAGAATACTTACCCGTCATGATAGTCTTGGATGAATGTCCTCTTTACCTGAAAAGAAACCACAKCAATTTGAATAGAAAATTCAGGAGTCGCAAAAAAAAAAAGGTCAATCTTGATTTTAGTTACCAAGCTCTTATGAAAAAGGGCGTCGCAACACAATATTTTCAACCCTAAAAGATACCAGCTAAAATTGACAAATTCATATTATTAATAGATGTTTTTCTTAAAACGACATCCTTAAAGATACCAAATTATCTGGTAACGTCCCGAGAACCTTTCAGACACCCTCCAGATCCCTGATTTTTACCCCTAAAAGAAACGACGATCATCCCCGCCCTTCAATAAGGATGGTCTTACAGTGATGCACATCGTTTGTCATGATTTGTCACACAAGGAACAATTGCCCATAGATATCCATGCAAAGTTAACCACTGTCTTGCTTTGTAGAACTATAAAAATAGAATAAGAGTACTAATCGTATGCTTGCCTGCTCTGGGCTTTCAGTAACTTTGTAATTGACTTTGCTCTTGGTATTTTCCTTCGTGATGTTTTTCTCCAATTCGCTATAGATTAACACAATATGTTTTAGAATACTAACGAGGTTACTGAATTCAATACAGTKAAAACATGAGAACATATCTCACCTCTCAAGTCTTTTAAGCTTGTCCTGTGGACAAGACGTTATATGTTATTATTACGTGAACTAATAATCCTTTGCATACACAGATTCAATGAATGACTCAGTAAATTGGCAATAATAAGTAAGACCAATATACGAACATACTTACTGTTAAATCAGAATATGCTGTATGCCAAATTGTTTCTTCATAATTCTTTGTCTGC